GAAACCAAATTATGAACATCTGTTTGAACAAACGTAATGCACCTTCTCGTTGATCCAGATATATAGGTTATTTGTAGCCTACTGTGCGCATCGTAGTGTAAATGTGGAATCGTGCGCATGCGTGTTGAAAGGGAGGAGAACTAAAATGGAGGAATAGAAACTATTCCACATTTACACTACAATGCGCACGTAACACCTACTATCACTTTTATTTCTATTTTATTTTAACTAATTTTATTATTCGTTTATTATTATTTAAATTAAATCCCTTTTTTTGTGGGTGGGGGAAGGGGGCGAGTGTAATCAGCGTTACGAAAATTATAAAGGGACACAAAGGTAAAAAATTTGGAAAACACTGGCCTAGATCTAGATCTACTAGAAATGAGTGAAGTGTCGGTGCAGAGAAAGTGCGTCAGATGACTTGATTCAAGTTTGAGAAGAGAGGATCATGAATTGAAGAAAATCAAGGTGCTTAGGAGGAAGATTTCGGAAGTTTGGTGAAGAAGATGCCCTGGTGATTGTGTTTGTAGAGGGATTTTTTTTTTGGTCAATGTGAGTTTTGAAATTTGTGATGGGGATTGGGTGTGAGGAGTACATGTCTTGGGGAGATGGTGGATTTGAGGTGAGAGTGTGGGAGAGATGTTGTGTTTGAGTGAATGTGTGGGTGAGAAAGCGTGTAAATGTGTGTGTGGGAGATATGTTGTGTTTTGAGGAGTAAATGTGTGGGGAGATGATGTGTTCAAGGTTACGGGTAGGTTTGTGAATGTATAGACAATAAGTGTTGTTGGTGAATGTTTGGGGAAATGTGGTGTGTTTGTTAAGTAAATGTGTGGAATAAATTACATATTAGTTAAGCAAATATGTGGTGGAGATGATGTGGTTGAGAAGTGAATGTGTGGGGAAGATGATGTGCTTGAGATGTGAATGTGTGGGGAGATGATGTGTTCAAGGTTACGGGTAGGTTTGTGAATGTATAGACAATAAGTGTTGTTGGTGAATGTTTGGGGAAATGTGGTGTGTTTGTTAAGTAAATGTGTGGAATAAATTACATATTAGTTAAGCAAATATGTGGTGGAGATGATGTGGTTGAGAAGTGAATGTGTGGGGGAGATGATGTGCTTGAGACGTGAATGTGTGGGGGAGATGGTGGGGGAGTTGAGAAGTGAATGTGTGGGGTAGATGATGTGCTTGAGACGTGAATGTGTGGGGGAGATGATGTGTTTGAGAAGTGAGTGTGTGGTGATGATGTGTTTGAGACGTGAATGTGTGGCGTAGATGATGTGTTTGAGACGTGAATGTGTGGGGTAGATGATGTGTTTGAGACGTTAATGTGTAGGGTAGATGATGTGTTTGAGACGTGAATGTGTGGGGGAGATGGTGTGTTTGAGACGTGAATGTGTGGGGGAGATGGTGGGGGAGTTAAGAAGTGAATGTGTGGGGGGAGATGGTGGGGGAGTTGAGAAGTGAATGTGTGGGGGAGATGGTGGGGGAGTTGAGAAGTGAATGTGTGGGGGAGATGGTGTGTTTGAGACGTGTATGTGTGGGGGAGTTGAGAAGTGAATGTGTGGGGGAGATGATGTGCTTGAGACGTGAATGTGTGGTGGAGATGATGTGTTTGAGAAGTGAGTGTGTGGTGGAGATGGTGGGGGAGTTGAGAAGTGAATGTGTGGGGGAGTTGAGAAGTGAATGTGTGGGGGAGTTGAGAAGTGAATGTGTGGGGGAGTTGAGAAGTGAATGTGTGGGGTAGATGATGTGTTTGAGACGTGAATGTGTGGGGGAGATGGTGGGGGAGTTGAGAAGTGAATGTGTGGGGGAGATGGTGGGGGAGTTGAGAAGTGAATGTGTGGGGGAAATGGTGTGTTTGAGACGTGAATATGTGGGGGAGATGGTAGGGGAATTAAGAAGTGAATGTGTTTGATATGGTTTGTTTGAGTTATGTTAGAAAATGAGAATATCTCGAATGACCATTGAGTTTGTAGAAATTATTGTATTTCTGGAGAAAGTGGTTCTTCATAAAAAAGAGAGTTTGCAGGCAAATAAGATGATGGTTAGCTGAAGGGATAAATTAAGGAATGAACCATTTAGACTGGGTAATAGAAGTTCTTGTTAGATATTTTTAGTAAGTGGGGGACATTCCTTGAAAAAATATGTATTAGTAAATATGAACATATGTGAATGCTTTGTCAGATGCAATTTTGTTCTTTAATGTATGTAGTCAGTTTTTGTGTTATAGAAAAGTTTTTTTTTTTTTAAAGTCAATTTGAAAAATTATGTGGGTGAGGGGGGATATTAATTTGTATTGTTTTTGTGGCTGTTTGAGCAATTTTTTTGTTATCCTTTTGAGGTAACTTTTGGTTTTACCAACACTGTAAGTTTAACATTAATTTAAGTTGTAACTATTCCATGAATATCTGAATTCTTTTTTTTAACAGGAAGAAAATCCAGCATTACGCCACAACCTTTACACACACACAGATATATTTGTTGTCTGTTTCTCAGTCATACGACCAGATTCCTTGCGCCATGTGGAAGATTTGTGGCTACCAGAAATACGAACCTTTGCCCCTACCACACCTTTCATCCTAGTCGGAGCTCAAGCAGATTTAAGGTGAGTTTATGCTAATTGTATTTAATTAATTCAAGTGTCAACATCATCTATTGTAAAATCTATTTCTTGACTGAAAACTTTAAGTACATTAAAGATACATTTTAAATCTCCTCTAATCCCTGCCTGGTATGGCAATCTGAACATTGAAAATAAAAATAAACTTCATAAAATCCTAAATGCTGCTGGTAAAGTCATTGGCAAAATACAAACCCAATTTGGGCAGCTGTTTGAGAAAAAAACATTCATAAGAAAGATTAAAAGATTTAAAAAATAAAGAATTATACTTTGAGTCAGCATTGTGTGATTTTACCATCACAAAAGAGATACAAGACACAAATAGCTACGGCAAACAGACACAAAAACTCTTTTGTTCCCCTGGCAATCAAATCATTAAATAAAATTTAACTTTCTGGTATAAACATTTCACATGTTAATTTTGAGTGAGTCAGTTGTTACTTTATATTTTGATTTTCTATAGTCATAATGTTTTGTTTGGTGTAATGCACAAATTATAAGTCAAATTTCCTTATGAATAATAAAGATTATTATTATTATTATTATTAAAAAAAAAAGAACTTTTTATGAAATTCTAAAACTTAAAGAACAGCTGCTGACCTGGAAAAGTGAAGTCACAGCACACTTATGATGATAAGTCATGGGACTGGGGAGATGAGAAAATTAAAAAAAAAAATAAACAAAAGATTATGTTTTATACTCTAATGATCACCATGTTATCTTGGTTTTCATGTATTACTTCCATTCTATATATTTGATCAGATCATCAGAGGCTATCACACATATGCTTCTGACAGCCGGTCAACGTGCAATATCCAGTGCTGAGGGAGCAGCTGTTGCTCGTAAAGTTGGAGCAGCCAGCTACATAGAAACATCCCCAGATGTGGAGAAAAATGTTCGAAAGCTCATAAATGGTGCAATTGCTTCAGTTTTGAAGGACAAGTCAAACGAATCAAGCTCCTGCTGTATACTATAAACAGAAAATTGTGTTATTTTGTTTTATTAATTTGATGTGAAATAACTAAACTGCTGTATGTAGCAAATGAGACAAGAAATAATAACATTATACTTACTTAATGCCTCATTCATGTCCAATATTTAAAAAATATATTTTATGGACCATATGGTATCTTTAAAAGATTATAAATTTAACAAAATTGTCATATAAAAAAAAATTATAAAAATTATGGTCTATTTTATAAAAATAATTTTATGTTAATATTTACAATGAATAACATGCTGAGATAGTTTCAATTACAAACACAGGCAAAATAAACTTTTTATAGTTAACTACATAAGTATCTTCTCTTTAGAAGTAGTATATGGAAGTAATAAAATTAAGATATTTTTCTTTAGCAATAAAATGAATGGTTTGCTTTTTTCGGAATTGCAATTTTGATGCAATATTTACTATATTGCTTGTAGACAATATAAACTATAAAGACAATATTTTTTACTTTGACATAAGTCATAGTTAAGTACCACACATTGTTTTTAATTTATTCAGATACCCTTCCTTATATTTTAGTGTTCATAAAAAATTTATGCATTAAATACAATTTTATCAAGCTAAACATGTAGCTGTATTATTGTGAATACAAACAACATACAAAACTTAGAAATGTATCATTCATTTTAAAGACATAATAAAAGGAACATATATATTATGTGTTCAAAACTTTTAGTACCAAAATGCCCTGCTCTTTTAAGGTAGCACCTAAACTACCACTGCGCCAGAACAGGTTTGTCAACATCCTGCTTCACTAATTAATACATATGCATAGAGGATAATGAGAAAAACACTTTGGGTACTCTTTTAAAATAAGCATGGTGGTAGCTCTAGTACCAAATTTAAATAAAATATTTATTTTCCTTTTTAAAAGTCTCCCATTCTTCTTTTAGCTGATTTATATTAATGTAAAGTTCCTCTTCAGACCTTGTCATATATGGGGCAGATGATGTAAAGGTCATATGTGTCTATGGCCCATGGTTAATGAGGGTGTCTTGTGGCCAGCACAATGGCCCAAGTAAAGTCAGGTACCCTTTAAAGGTGAACTCAGAGGCACCCTTAAGAAGGTAAAATAAAAAAATCCTAGTCTTAACCAGGATTTGAACCTGGTTTAGAAGCCAAGTGCTTTACCTCTCAGCCACTGCACCTCCGATTCATATTAATGACATTTTTTAAAAATATTACAATCCTGTGTGGTATTCAGTACCAGTTTGAAAACCATCCACAATAAGTAAATTAAAGATTTTAATAACATTTTTAGGTGTAGTTTTTTTTTTTATTATTTTAAAAGGATTTGTTTTTATAATGAATGAATGAACATTTTTACTTAATAGTTTTAGATATTTTCTATTTAAATTTCATTGACAATATTAAATTTTGATAAGAGCATGAGAATGTATAATATCCTTGTTAGAATGAACTACAAATGCAGAGGCTTATCAGGTTAGGATAGTATTATCAAACTTGTTTGACTGACTTTCAAATATAAACAAGAATAGATAACTCTAAAATTTCCAGAAGAAGCATTTCCTAATTTTAAACACTATATAATAGTTGTTTTTTTTACAAAAGCATGTACTTGCCACTACACTATTATCACAGACATTAAATTGTGAGATTTATACTTAAAGCTTACCACTTTATGATTTACAATCTTATAGTTCTTCAGCAACAATGATTAGTACCCTAACTACTGGTACAGACATACAGCATTCTTGTAATATGTATATCTTTCAACAAAATAATGTATTTTTTTATTAACTCAACTGCTGAAAATAATCAAATGGCTTTGTTATTGGGACAAACCTGTTCTAAGATTTCAGGTGCCTCTTTTGTTGAATTCCTGCCTCCCTGGTGGAGTCTTTTGAGTGATCAAACATAGTTTCTGTTTCCTAAAATGTTTTTTCGTGTTTGAAAATTGTGATCAAACATAGTTTCTGTTTCCTAAAATGTTTTTTCGTGTTTGAAAATTAACATTTTTTAACTTTCATTTTGTTTTTGTTTCCATAAGTTTATGGTTTATGAAAGAAAAAAAAAAAACTGGCATTCTATTTGAATGCTTATTGTGAAACCACTTTGCCTTAAAACTGGCACACTTTGAATGTGTGCAAAGTTTTTCAAGTGTCCAATAAATATGTTTGATACATATTTTACACCTTGTCTACTTTTTTTTTTTTTTTTTACAGTAAACAAATAAATCAAGTAACATTGCGTTTTCTTGCTTAATTATCCAATCGTGTTCAGTTTTGTCTATAGTTTTAAATGTGCCTAAGTAAGAGGAGTTTTTGTTTACCAGTATGCATACACTTATGCTCCCTCTGACTTTAAGATCAAAAGTAGTAATTACGAGGTATTATTCTTCTGGGAAACAAAAAACCTGTCCAAATTGAGAATTCCTAATTCCTATAGTCTCTTGGTCTTTATGTAGAGATACAATACTTATGCTCAATACTTAATACTCAATGCTACTATCTATTGAAGAATACACGATCCTTTAAGACAACCTGTACCCTTTAAACCTTGTTACATCAGATCTGGACAAAGTGGTCGTCTCCTTTCCATTAGGACTAAAACAGAAAGATTGAAAAACTTTACCCACTTTCGGTCAGTGTTACCATGTCACCTGTCTCCACCGAGAAGTGCACAGACGTCTATTTAAAAAAGAGCTGGTTGTTAGCATGTTTTGTGTGTGATTGTTGTTAGTTTTTGTATCTGTATTGTTAATGTTACATTAGTTAGTCATATGGTCAACTGTAGTCAAACTACATTCCATTTCTTTGGACCCCAAAAAATTATTTTCTTATTATCAAGGCTTTAATTATTTTGAGGGCAGGTTATAACAGACATACATGATATGGCAATCAGTAGTGGCCTTAGGGGGTGGCAAGTGGGGCAACCGACCCAGGCCCCGCGCCTCAGGGGGGAGCCCCGCTATCGGAGATTGTATTGTCATCAACTTCGAAAACCAAATCAGTCGTTTTTAAAGTAGGACTTGTTACTCAATATTTTCCCAGTATCTTTATGATACCAATTACCATGTAAGCTCTTAACATTAAATTTTTGGTTTTGAAATACCGTTCTGTTTCGGGGCTATCATCGTTTAACAGTTCACAATAAAAATATGTAGGTGGAAGCAACTAATCCGAATCTTATATTTCGTATTTAAACTTCGACGTCCAAACGGATTTTATTAGGAAAATTGGTAGCGATAAAGTTTCAACTACTTTGAATTATGAAAATTGTATATGGAATTGTCAATTATAACATTGATAGTCACATAAAATTCAAACTAAAAAAAAAAGATGTTCTTAACAATGAAAATTTATAAACAAATATGCAGTGTTTTCTTAACTTTCGCTATTGATACGTTCTAAGGCCGTACGCGAAGGTCATATTTTCGCGATATTTAATTTCATGTACGTATAATATTTTCGGATATAAACAGTATCACTTGAAACCTCTAGATAACCATTTCCCATAGCATTAATAACTTTTACATGCTGTTATTTTTTAAAACTCATTAAATGTTCAGTAATTTTTTAAAGTGTCATACAGCATTGTTATGTAGCATTACAGTATAAAAAGACTTGGTACGTATACATTAAATATAGGCCTACTGTTAATTTAGTCTGCAATGAAAAAAAAAGGGTTGAGGGTGTATGAAAAGGATTCCTTATTTGGTACTGTAACCTAGCCTGTAATAAACCAGTTGATGTGCTTGTAAAGCTATTTCGGCCAATCAGCTTCCAGAAAGTTTGGCGATGACGTATTAAGTTTTGTTTTTTTTTCTTTTTTTTAAATTAAAAAAAACGCGGGAGTCTTTTTTTTTTTCAATTAATTTTTGAAAACCTGTGGTATAGCCCTTCTGCAAAAGTCGGGTCTGTGAAAGTGTAGGGACCACTGTAGCTCTTATAGCACACTTTGTTCTTATAGGACGTCCAATTGGCTTCAGTTAGCAGAGTGAGAGAGGAGACTTAATATAAGTAGTGTGTGAGTGTTTATCTTTTTTATTTGTTTCTGTTAATGGAGAACTATTACACTACAGTATATAATGTACTTACGTAATCTTTAGCTACATAATGTTCTATGTTTTGTAACAAAAATAAGGCCCACAGCTTAGAGGTGGATATATTGTATTGTTATTGTTACAACGTTAGAGGTGGACATACTGTATTGTTATTGTTACAACGTTAGAGGCGGACATACTGTATTGTTATTGTTACAACGTTAGAGGCGGACATACTGTATTGTTATTGTTACAACGTTAGAGGCGGACATACTGTATTGTTATTGTTACAACGTTAGAGGCGGACATACTGTATTGTTATTGTTACAACGTTAGAGGCGGACATACTGTATTGTTATTGTTACAACGTTAGAGGCGGACATACTGTATTGTTATTGTTACAACGTTAGAGGCGGACATACTGTATTGTTATTGTTACAACGTTAGAGGTGGACATACTGTATTGTTATTGTTACAACGTTAGAGGCGGACATACTGTATTGTTATTGTTACAACGTTAGAGGCGGACATACTGTCTTGTTATTGTTACAACGTTAGAGGCGGACATACTGTATTGTTATTGTTACAACGTTAGAGGCGGACATACTGTATTGTTATTGTTACAACGTTAGAGGCGGACATACTGTATTGTTATTGTTACAACGTTAGAGGCGGACATACTGTATTGTTATTGTTACAACGTTAGAGGCGGACATACTGTATTGTTATTGTTACAACGTTAGAGGCGGACATACTGTATTGTTATTGTTACAACGTTAGAGGCGGACATACTGTCTTGTTATTGTTACAACGTTAGAGGTGGACATACTGTATTGTTATTGTTACAACGTAAGAGGTGGATAAGCCCGTTAGGTTGATGAGTTTACGGTTTATATATTTGTCTACCCTTACGGCTAAGGGCCCCGCACATGACGCTCGCTCAGGGCCCCGCGCACTGCTAAAGCCGCCCCTGTGGCAATCAAATTATGGGCCAGATGATATGGTAATGATATAGCATAGAAAAACAGACATAAACACACTTTTGTTCCCCTGGCAATTGGCAATAATGCATGGGCGGATTTCGACTCCCAGTCCGCCCCTGGACATGCTCCAATCGCTTCTGTGGTCGTGTCTGCTGCAAGATGGAAGCCAATGGAAAGTCTTGTTTTTTGTTTGGTAACATGAGGATAGACTCTTGTCAAAAAGGTGTTCTCCATTCTATCATTAGCCTGTTCCAGTGCTATTGAAAAGAGTACTTTGTTTGGTTGACCTTTCTTGATTAGGTTTCTCAATGATCAAGTAAGTGCCGTGTAATTAGGTATGAAGCATCGGTAGACATACAAAATCCTAGTATACTTCTGACTTGTTTCTAGTTGTAGGCACTTGAATATCTTGATAATGTGAGCTAGTTGATTTAAGGATTTATAGCTCACTTTGACCCTTAGGCAGATTGTGGCACAACCTGGCAGAACCTGCAGTGCAACTGATCCCAAACTGTATCGCATATTTCCGTTTCTTTGGTAACATCAGCTGTGTGGAGGGGGGGGGGCGGCTTTTGTGGATGACATCGTTCCGACCATAAATAATACCCAGGCTTTCATCTCGCTTATCCAAAGCCCTAATCTTAAAAAAAGACAAAAAAAAAAAGACACTGTAATGTAAAAATATTACTTTATGGATGGCTAGTTCCATTTTGTTTGGTTTGATAGTGAAGCCATGTTGTCTAAATTCATGAAAGATTTCTTGTAAAAGTTCTTCCCAAGATTTGTGAAAGATGCATAAAAGTAATAACAGAATCAAGACTGTTCAACAATACAATCTCGTCGGCAACATTTATGTATGAATGCAGTGAAGTTGTTGTTGAGATTGAATCTTGAAAACTGCCTCTTTACCGCATTGCTTAACAATAAATGACGCACGTGTGGACTCTTTTAGGTCCCATTTAAGTTTGGGTGCAACCTTTGTGTATGTAATCTTTGTCTTTTCTTTGATGTTTGCTACCTGCTCTGTAGGTTAACTTAACTATCACAGCAAAATATTGACACCCTTTTTTTTTTTTGCCAGGGCGACCCGTAGATAAAAATCAATACTAAATTTAATGAGATCTGTCAAAAACTAAAACCACCTGTTTGTCTATCCTTTGTCCACGTTTACATGCCATCTTGGAGTCTACGTCAAAATTTCTTCCGTTCGGTTTTCTACACCAGATCTGAAAGAAAGATTTCTTGATAGTAGACATGAACATCTACAGTTTTTGTTTTGTTTTTCTTTGTTTAATAGGACTATAGGACTCTACAGGACAGTTATTTTTTTTTAAATTCATTTTTCGATGGATTGGGTTTTTGTCAGTTTCACATCATTTTGAAGAAAGCATGAAAGGGTACTAATTTCTTTAGCAGCTTCCCGTATATGCAGTCCAGACTTTTGTAGTTTCTTCTGAACTATTTTAATTGGGCGCAGAAGATTTAACCAGAATTCCATATAGAATGAAAAATTATGAATTTTCCACTGCATTAAGAAGATTCTGTGTTAATATTATATGATATTACGTCATTGTTGGTTGTTTATGTTTTGTGCGAAAGCAAAAGGATTCAGAGCATACAAAAGTGGGAAAGATCCATATCTCGTTATGCTCGAGTACAGAAATACTCCGATAAGCGGACTGCCGTATTCACCATCACAACTGCTGACGAGTAGAAGACTCAGGGAATCATTCCAACTGATCCCAAACCATTGAAACCATCGGTAGCTGAAAATGCGAAGACATTACTCAACGAACGACAGATGAAAAGCAAAGTGAAATACGGTGCAATAACAAGACTATCTAAAGATTATTCTGTCGGAGAGTTCGTCTAGGTCAAACATGGCAGAAAGCAGTTGTCATAAAAAAACATTGAGCACTCAGATCTTACATCATAAAGACAAACGATAGAAAAACATACAGAAGAAATCAACGCTTTTTGAATAAGAGTTTCGATGAAGACATCTCTGGGTACATTGATACCGATGAAGACAATGAACTGCAAACTGTTGGAACAAACGAAACAGACAGTTATAGACCAACGTCTAGAGAACTTGTGCCAGTCAAGACAACCAGAAGTGGACGAATTGTTAAAGTTCCTTGTAGATATCACTCTTAAGAACTTTAAAAGGAAGGGTGTGATAATAACTTCAAAAGGAAGGAGGTGCTAATATTATATGATATC